CCCTAGGAAACCCCAGCGTTGACTACCACCTCCCTCTGACACACTGTCGCGGGTGCCTCCACACCCCTCTCGCCTTGGACCTCGGGACACCACGCACGGCCCACGGCCTACCTAACATCGTGCCGCTCACCGAGCAGCTCTGACTGCATGTGTGCAGAACCGTTTGGCTTTCCTCCAAAACCTTCTCCCTCCCCAGACTTCTTCAAAGGGGCGAATGGCCTCACCTTCTTCACCCACTGCCTAAATCCTTGGGTGTGCCGTGTCCATGACTCTGACCTTTCCCTTGTCCTCTGTGTCCCACTGGCACATCTTCCAAGATGCCCGGAATCTTTGAACTTCCCACCACCCCCACTGCTATCCCCTGAGCCTGCGGGACAGCAAAATGCTCCCACGAGCCCAATGCGGCCACAGATGCATCTGCATCTCCGCAGAGTGACTGCCAGACCTGCCTTGATGAGAAAATGGACCGTGTGGCCCTTCACAGAAAAGCTCGCTGACCCCTAAACACGGATGTCACCTGTGACTGTCCTTCACTGTGGTCCTCCAGCCAACAACAAAACACCTGTGTCGCTTTTAGATTGTTCTTTCCCTTTCTCATGCCAACAGCTCCCCTTCTTTTCTGTCTCCTGATCAGAAGCCTCAATCTGCCTGCCAGGCGGCTCCCTCCCTGCCTCCCTCCCTCCTTTCCCTCCCGCACTCCATCTCTGAGCATTGTCTCCTGGGAACACCATGTTCCCCCATCAAGGAACTGCAGCGGCTCTCACCGTTTCCAGCACTTAGCCTACACACACCTGTTAAGGTTTCAAAGGTCCCGTATAACCTGGGCTTACCCTGTAGAGTCAGTCGAGGCCCCGCTGCCCCCCAACAGGACAAGCCGGCGCCCTCCCCTCTGCCAGAAGGTGCCACAGGCCCTCCCCAGCCAGTGCACCGTTGCTGCAGCCAGCCCACTTTCTTACTGCCGTTGGTATCTGAATGTGTGCCAAACTCTCTCATATTACACAATCTCCCGGAGGCTCCCAAACCTTCCCTCCAGCTACCACCCAGCTTATTGCTCTCTCCTCCTTTTCCCAGAGAGAGAGATTTTCTGGGGGAAAAAAATCTGAAGGAACTATCTACCACCATCATCTTCACCTCCTCACCTCACCGTTCACCCACTGCTTCACTAAAATCACCTCTGCCGGGGGCACTAATGATTTCACCCATGCCAGTAAGCCTGTTTCACTCCTACTGCACCGTCCGCTCTGCAAGGGCACTGAACAGAGTTCACTGCTCTGTCCAAGAACACTCTCCCCCAGGCTTCCGTGACAACCACACTCTTCTTTTCCCATCTCGCTTCTGGAATACTCCTTCTCAGCGTCTTCGTTACATATCTGTCTTCCCCACCAAACAGGGAGCTTCCTGAGGAAGGGGCCGCGTCACGTGTGGCTCTCTGATGCCACACATACATTCTAGTATACGGTAGGCAGGACGTCAGTGAATGTCAGCTAAAATCAATTGTCATTTACTGTTTTCAGCTCAAGAATTTTCACTCTCTGGCTAAAAGGAACAAATCAGGAGACTAGAGATGCTGGCGAGGATGTGGAGAAATGGGAACCCTCTTGCACTGTTGGTAGGAATGCAAACTGGTGCAGCCGCTCTGGAAAACAGTGTGGAGGTTCCTCAAAAAGTTAAAAATAGATCTATCCTATGACCCAGCAATAGCACTGCTAGGAATTTACCCAAGGGATACAGGAGTGCTGATGCATAGGAGCACTTGTACCCCAATGTTTATAGCAGCACTTTCAACAATAGCCAAATTATGGAAAGAGCCTAAATGTCCATCAACTGATGAATGGATAAAGAAGTTGTGGTTTATATATACAATGGACTACTACTTGGCAATGAGAAAGAACGAAATATGGCCTTTTGTAGCAAAGTGGATGGAACTGGAGAGTGTTATGCTAAGTGAAATAAGTCATAC